AATTAATGATGTGTCACGTTATTAAATTGAATGTTACACATCCACGAAAGTAATTATATCGCGTTAAATTGTTACAAGGTTATAAACTTCTTTATTAAGGTGTAACCGGATTTATGCATCTAATTCAAATAATGTTGTTTGACTATTGTTTAATTAGTGAATTGTAGCTTACTACATGCTGAATTGATTGGATTCCAGCATTAAATGATTGATGAGTAAAACATAATGCCCAACTTGTTACATCCACTCCAAGAACATGTTCAAGATACTTTGTGCTGCTGGATAATTAATTAAAAGGTCATGCTATCATTTTTGAAATTCATTTTCAGAAAATTATTCCACTCTTTTTATGAAATCGCCATATTTATTATGAAGTTATCCTTTCAATATTCTTATGTATATGCCAAATACAATGATTATGTTTTGTTGTTGAAGTGTTCCATGGATAGCAGCAACCATACCAGTATCTGAATCAGTAAATATTACACATGGTGCAAGGTCATTGGTAGCACACAATAAACATTCAAGAATCCATTGATAGGTCTCTTTGGTTTCATCTGAATAACAGCTGTTGCTGCCATCTGAGAACATGCATGATTATCTACAGCAATCTCCTAGATTTTTCTACATTTAAATCAATTAGAAGTGATATTGATGAAATTGAAACTGTTGTGGATTTTATTCTTAAATTGTATCAGGTAGATAGAGATCAAAGGATGATTCCTGAACAAGCCTTGCTGGAGAAATAATAATAATAATTTTTAATTATTTTATACATCTGGATGTTTTGTGCTGTGTCTGGTGAACTTGGTGATCAAATACACGCCCTAATCAAACTGAATACATTGTATTGAATGTAATTCTTTTCACATGTTGAAGTCTGTGTATATAATAAAAAAAGTTTAGACTTATTTCACCATATAATAACGTTCAATTAACCAATCTAATTAAACCTTATATATATAACTGATGCTCACCCTGTGGGTGCAACACTTGACATTTTAAAAATAAAAACACTTTATTTCAATATCCAATTGGATGTTGATCATCCTAAATTGTCGAATGATCTGTTTAAGGGAAAAAACGTATTTTTTTGGTATTTATGCTTATTATTATATAATCTCCAATCCAGATTTCAAATAATTCTCAATATATTTATACTTTTTTTTTGATATACAACAAAAATTAAACTGCTTTGTACTTTTTGCATATCTTAGATTATGCTTCATTTGTTCATTTTTTTTTAAAATATAATAATTATAGATATTACATTTCAAAAATAAAAAATCATATTTTTTAAATATCCTAGAATGTTTTATTTTCCTAATGCATATCTTATTAAATTAGAAATTTAATAAAACCAATTCTTATTAATATTTGTCTTAAGTAAATAAAAATCAAAATAAACATGAAAATAAGGGCACAAAATTTAAAAAGATATACAAGCTCCAAATGATTTTTTAACATTGTTAACTATGGAAAAAAAAAGAAAAAAGGAAATCTTTTATTATGTTATTTCATGAATAGATAAAAAAATTATAAATTACAACAGATTTTATTTTGCATTATACTTCTCAACACAAATTTTTCCAGAGGGTACCATTTTTTTCTTAAGATGAAGGGGGTACTAACTATAATAATAATGATTGAAATAAAACCTGGTACAAAATCGAGCATAATTATATAAATGATGATTTATCCAATAGCTCAAAAATCAATTTAATGCTACTTCTTGTTAAGAAATCCTTATCTTTTTCCAATAAACAGTAATTACTATTTTGGTGCTGATTTTTAAAATAGAAAAGACTTTTCCATAAATTAAAATATTAATATTGTGCCATTGTTTATTGACAAAAATGCAAGAGTATAATGTTTTATAATTATTGTAAAGAAAAAAAAATTTTTTTTATTCATTGCATTGTTTTCCCAATTAATTAAAATCCAATAAAAATAATAAATATAAAAATTTATATAATTTAGTTTAAAAATCCTAAACCCTGATCAATCCACTAATTTTCAACAATCATCAAATTTCATCGTAAAAGGTTTAGGTCCTCTCCAATTCTTTGTTAGATTATTAAAAGAATTGACATTAATAGTAGAAAACTTACAAGGAAGCATTATTGATTTTAATTTTTTGGTAATGTTTGATTTAGTACTGAAAGTATTTTATCACCATTTAATGTACATGTATAACCATTTTTAAGTACAATCTTTTTTAATTTAATACAATTGTTAAATACTTCTGTTAACTTCTTGTTTACTTCATCATTATAAAGTATTGCCAAGTTCACTAAATTTTTACAACATTGTGCAATTGATTGAAATAGCTTTCCCAAAAATTCATTGTCATTTGGAAAACCACCAACATCCAAATATTTAAGAGTTTTCCCATTGATGTTAATAAAACTAGACAAGTCTGATATAAATTGTTGCCTAACAATTAATAATGTCACAAATTCAATATTTGGCAGTGAAATACTTTTCATCCATTTTGTTTGTTCCTTAATACCACATAATGATAAAGCTTTCAAATTGATAAATGTTGGCAATAATATATGATCCATATATGATCCATTACTTGAATAAAAAATTATTGATTGTGAATGTATGAGAATTGCTTTTCTGAAATTATCTGATAAAGATTGATGGTAGTTAGTGTTTAAATGTATGGTTAATTCCTTTATTTGATTTTGTGCTTTAATTAATTGAGCCAGACTATCTTCAAGTTTATTGTTAAATCTAAGATTACATATTTGCAATGATTGAATACATTTGCAAATATTTGCTAATTTATCAATAAGTTCATAACTAATATTACGATTACAAACTAATTTATTAAGATTCTGAAAATTATTATCAAATTTATGATGATTATTTACTGGGTAAGAAACCATATGGAAAGTATAAACTCCCTAATAACTGCTGAATGATCTAAAATAAAAATTTACTAATCTATTTTCTAAAATATCTAATTTGGATTTTGCCAGCAATTGAAAATGATAACAACTGAAATAAAATCTAGCACAAAATCTAGCATAATTATATAATGGTGATTTATCCAATAGCTCAAAAGTCAATTCAATGCCATTTCTTGTTAAGAAATCCTTATCTTCTTCCAATAAACAATTGATTATTATTTTGATGCTGTTTTTAGAATAAAATGGATTTTTCCATAAAATTGAAATATTAACATAGTACCATTGTTTATTGACAAGAATTCAAGAATATAATGTTTTATAATCATCATTGTATTTAAATACTTCAATCAAAAGCTCAAGTGGTAAAATCATTGTAAAGAAAATTTTAATTTTTTATTTGTCACACAATAAAATGGTTTATTATTTTCCCATTAAAAATAATATATATTAAATTTATATAATTTAAAAAACCTAAATCCTGATCAATCTACTAATTTCTGACAATCATCAAATTTTATTGTAAAAGGTTTAGGTCCTCTCCAATTCTTTGTTAGATTATTAAAAGAATTGACATTAATAGTAGAAAACTTACAAGGAAGCTTTATTGACTTTAATTTTTTTGGTGATGTTTGATTTAGTAGTGAAAGTATTTTAACACCACCATCAAATGTACACATATAAACAATTGTAATACTTTCTAATTTAATACAATTATTAAATACTTCTGTTAACTCTTGGTTTACTTCATCATTATAAAGTATTGATAAGTCTACTAGATTTTTACAAAATTGTGCAATTGATTGAAATAGCCTTCTCAAAAATTTGATATCAGTTGAAATACTACTAACAACATCCAAATATTTAAGAGTTTTCCCATTGATGTTAATAAAATCAGGCAAGCCTGATGGTAATGGCTTCCTACAACTATATAATTTCACAGATTCAATATTTGGCAGTGAAATATTTTTCATCCATTTTGCTTTTTCATCAACATCATATAATGATAAAATCTTCAAATTGATAAATGTTGGTAATAATATATGATCAATATTATCTAATCCATTACTTGAATAAAAAATTATTGATTGTGAATGTGTGAGAATTGCTTTTCTGAAATTATTTGATAAAGGTTGATTAACATTTGAATAAATAGCTAATTTCTTTATTTGATTTTGTGCTTTAATTAGTTGAGCTAGACTATTTTGAAGTCCATTGTTGTTGCATGTACCATACATTTCTAATGACTGAATACATTTGCAAATATTTGCTAATTTATCAATAAATTCATTGCTAATACACTCACCTGCCAAAAGTATCCGGACAAGATGTAGATCATGTAAATTTCCACGACATTTCTGCGTGTTTTACACAAAAATACTCGAAAACTAGTGAGAAAACATGGCTTTTTGTCCTAAGTAACTGCA